TCGGTTTCTAATTTCGTATTCTCGTTAGTTAAATCAAGAATAGTACTATCACGATTATCAATGGTGTCGTTTCTTTCTCCCAATTGAGTAGTTAAAGTAGTTATGGTATCATTTAAAGAAATTATTGTGTCATTGGCAGTCGTTAATTGATTGTCAAGTTTGGTTTTATCATCAGTTAGACTATCCAACCTATCCTTAATTTTCTTTAAACTATCTTTATCTATTTTATCTCCAAACGATTTATCAAACTCGTTCTGTTGTCAATAGTTTTTATTATCGTTGTATCATTTTTTCTCAGGCTCCTCTCATTTGTCGACCTCTACCATTTTTAAGAAATCATTTTTTAGTTGAAAAATATTAACAGCTAATTCTCCGTTACTTTTGGTGTTCTCGGTTGTTCTTTTAACACTTTCTATACAATGAGGCAAACCATAGACATCACCCAAACCACTTTTTTCATTATACCAATATTCAATTCTTTTAAAAAAATGTTTCTGTTCCTCGGTAGTTCTAGTTTTTAAAGAAGTAAAAAAGGGGTCTTGTAATATTTTATCCTTTCCCTCTTTTAATCTTTTGTTTAGGTCAGAATAATCTTTGCTGGCTCAATCATATCCTACTAATTCCTGTCATTTTAGTAAAAAGGTTTCACATTGATTTTTAAATTCTTGTGTAATTGTCATAGTTTCTAATTTTTACTTTTTTAATATTGTCAACATTGTAAGTATTATTCTTTCAAATACTCAATATTTCTTTTAATAGTGCTAGTTCGGTGTCTGTGCTGTCATATGGGCTTTTGCTACCAAGATAATCAACATGTAGCACTCCCTTGCCTTGAAAAACAAGGGAAGCCCCCGCATCTAATAAATTTTTTCTTGCTTGATGTAATTCTTGTTTTGTTACCATATTCTTTTATTTATATTTATGTCTTTAATATATGTTTAGACTTAAAATTTAATTCTACTTTTTAGGTGTAATCAAACTCTTTTGAGTTAATTAACTTACTTTACTCTATATATATAAAATCCTAATTCCTTTTTATAGGAATTGTATCTTCTATATATGTTTTATTTTAGGAATTTATTTTATTTGATATAGTTGCTTTTCTTTTTTT